AAAAATGAAACGATACTCTTTTACGTAGTAAGACTTTTGGTTAACATATTTTTCCAAAAAATTCCTTCTCTTTCCGAGCAGCCGATGGTGACAAAAATATTTCGTCCTCCGCAAGGTTTTGAACTGTGAAAAATTTGTGTTCTTAAATACATTCACAGCTTTTATTAAATAGAATTTTACTACCTGGTATACAGGGAATGCGCGAGGACAAACCACGTCTGAGGCTACTACTCTTCTCGTGATTGTGTTGGAGACATTTACGTCACTTGTTGCAATACTCCCGTCGAAATATAAAATTGACATAATTCCTATCGCGTTTTATGTTTATATTTGTGGGTTATTTATTTATTCATTTATTTTATCGATATTGACTATTTACTTATCTTGTGACTACTCTCTCTTAGCTATCGTACTCGATTCCAAATTTCAGAAAGAACTTGTATCACAGGTTCTTATGAACATTAAGCTTTTGTGTGTCAACATAGAGTCTCAATTTGAAGAAGAATTGTTTGAAAATTTTTCACCGACTGTCAAGTCAACAATATCCTCGATGATATCCAAGCTTTCGTTGATCATGAGGTTTGTCATGTAAAAGATTCATCCAGTTTCATTTGAAATTGTTATATTCATTTTCCAACAAAATTTAGTCAAAACGAGAGAAACGAAGACAATGTTTCTATAATAAAAAATGGCATGCTGGCTACAGTATTGCTGTTCACATCTTGCCCAAAATCATGTGTTCAAATGCACACGTCACAAAAAAATTTTACCGAGATATTAAATAAAGGATTCTATTCCGAGAATGCTACGGTATATATACTTACGTTTGTACCATTTTATAAAAGCTTCCTAATTAACCTCTTACTTTACTTTGTAGATTTCTATAACATCTCTTCAGTGTACTCGGACTTTAATTTTACTTTCGTCCAAACAAACAAACATGATTCTAACAAACAATGATATTTCCGAATCGATGAAAATTAGTCATAATTTCACTAAGGCCCTTATGCCTCAAGTGATTTTGTTTATAAAAAGTTTAAATGAGAAATACAAGAATCACGTTTTCTCTCAAGATGAGGCCAGCGTGCTAAATGTTGTTGAAGAATCAGTAAAGACCTTACTGACTATAAATGCTGCGGCACAGGATTCACAAAGTAAGGCAAAAAAGCTATTGAATTTCTATCTTTTGTCATTTATAATTAATTGATTTCTATTTCTATGTATGATAGGAACGGAAATTATGGCAATCACGCTGCCTATCTTGATATATTTATTGACAGATTCCTCACTTGAAAAATATTCGCAACCAGATGTGCCTACACTTCACAAAATCTCTATAACACACATACTTTCACTTGCAGGACTGCAACCACAAAATTTCAGAGAAACGGTGGCTGCCCTATCCCCAGAACAAAAAACAAAGTTAGAAGCAGCAATTAAATTTAATGTCTTGCAACAACAACAACAGCAACAAAAGCTACAAGAGGAAAGAGAAAGAAGGAATAATGAAAGGATGGAGTTAAATAAGGGACCCAGCATTTCATTGAAAAGTGATTTTTCCGGTTTTACGTAAAGTCCATTGTCATTTATTGGTAAAATCCAGCTTGTCTCTTTTTTAAATTGAATTATTTATTAAAAGTGAATGGGAGATAATGTCTTCATTACTAATTCTGTTATAAATAAAAGTATAAATAGGCTTTATAGAATTAATTCAGTATTGTAAAATAATAATTATTTTATTGGATACAATTGGGTAAATAATATTGTTAGGAGGTATTATTATTGTTTGGATTTTTGTTGCTGTTGCTGTTGTGTTGTTATTAATTGTAGGATTAATCCTTAGAATAATTTCTAGTGTCTTCGCTCTATTTGTATGTATACATAATTTATTTCGACTTATAAATTGATTATTACTTATTACATTACCAAAGTTTTCTGTTTTCTATGAATGTGATACTGTAAAAATACTTTGGATAAATAACGCCAGAGAAATTTATCATTTGTTCTCGCGATAAACTTGCGGTAGTTAATATTTGCCATTACCGGTTTTAGCCATCTTTATTATTACTAAACAACACTACATCATAATCAAATCGCTCATCATTAGGATCAATATGATACCTTTCTAATAATGGTTTAAGACTGTCACTATTTTCCTTCCTCTCCAAGTCCCTTATGTAACTATCACAAATTGATGGCAGATCCTTGAAAAGCTTTCTTGCAGCCTGAACTTCATCCATGAAATTTGGTGTATATATGTGGTTCGGCTTGAGGTTTCCTAAAATATTTTCGATTTTTTCATGTTCTCGAATCATTTTCAAAGCCGTAATAGGCCCGATATAACGAATAGTACCGGCGAAATCCGTTCCACATAGTATACAAAGGTCTATGTATTGATCGACTGTGAGCGAAAGTAGTTCTCGTGCTTTATCAGGCATGATTTCTTGAAAGGTTCTGTTTCTAGCAAGGAAATTTCTTAAAACTGGTCCATTTCCATAAATTGTAGTGTCCATGTCGTCCGAAACGACTGCATCAGTATAACCCTTCTCCGTCAAAGACATACAAAAGGCCTCCGCCTCATGACCTTGCGGAGATATACATGACTTCCCCCACGATTTCAGGAAATATTGGCATTCATCATACATTTGCCAAGTAACCATAACGGCACGCCTTTCTAATTTCTTGCTCAACTCATAGCTCTTAAATTCGAAGTTTGATACCAATTCAGTTGGCGTTTGACCAGTGAGTAAGGAATCAAGAAGTTGATATTCTGCCTTTGCTACCTCACGGTGAGATCTTGTATACGTTTTATCAGTGACCAATGATGCCGCATCTGTAAATGTTGATTTCACCACCTCTTTCACTTTTCTTTTTAGCTTGATGTCATCCTCAGTAGGTATGAAGTCTGGATGTTGTTCTCTAAATGTTTGATCGCTATCCAATTTTGAGATCGTTTTCATGATCGGTTCGTCTATCGTTACAGGTGGTGACGTAACTATTTCTTCCCTGATAACTTTCTCTATTTCGATTGACGCTGTTGTCTTTTCTGTTGACACGGTTTCTCCGAAGGAGGGCAGTAGATCGGTTTCAACGGTTTCTCCGAAGGAGGGCAATAGATCGGTTTCAACGGTTTCTCCGAAGGAGGGCAATAGATCGGTTTCAACAGGAGTTTTTTCAATGGATGGTGGCAGTGACTCGATTGTAAACACAGCTCTTATAAGTGGAAGAAAATTTGTTAGCAAGCCAAGATCTCTAATGCTACTTAGAACGTATCCTGATTCGTGAGTATTTAAATTCTTCGCCACATCCAAAATGAACTTCCATTCTTTTGCCCTTTCTTCTTGTGACCATTCACTGTAAATAATCTCACTTGCAATCAATATTAGGTTCTCTTCGGATTGTGAAGGTCTAAAGCTAGGGTGCTTCTTTTTTACATGATCAAAGTGTGTGATTTTCTGTATAATTTCATGATCAAATGGATCCAAGGAAACAACTGAGAATAATTTCGCATAATCTGTTTTTTTCATATCTGCATCTTGGATAGCACTTCCCTCCACGTGAATTTTCTTATATGATTCTGATTCGATTGGTCGCGTCTCTGCCAATTGTGATGGTGGTTGTGACAGTGCTTCATGAACTACTTCTTTTAGGCCCGCTTTAATATATTCGGACTTTACATCATCCAATTTTTTCATCTTATCAGCTATGTCCTTCCATTTTTCTGACCTTTGATTTCTAGTCTTCTCAAAGTTCCACCCAGCGATAACCTTATTCATCAATTCTTTTCTTCTAGCAATCTCCTTTCTTTTTTCTTTTAGTCTCGTTTTTCCGTCAAACACGTATATAGGTATAATGTTATTTTCATTTAGAAACAAGGTCATACAATAAAAGCCAAGAATATGAGGATACGGGTGTTCCAGGCCATTTTTATCAGTGACGCGTAAGCCATAAACGAATTTTCTAAGAAACAAGCTTCCATCTATTGCTAATCTTTTATTTCTATAATGATCAATGTTCCTTTGTGCCAATGAGTCGGGAGCATATCGTTTCAATAACGGTGCCAAGTTTTTAACTCCCATGGTGTTCGTGACAGTTGATAACGCGTGAATTTTCGCGAATTCTTGACGATCACCGTTTAAGCCCTCAATTTCCAAGAACTCTGCTGTGTTACCATCAAGAACACTGGGACCCCTTTGCACAATATCGCATGTAATGGTTGTACTGACTGGTTTTAATTATCGAATCGTAATTCTTCTTTTTTCTATTATTATTAAATCTACTATTTCAAAGTTTTGAAATTTCTATCAAGTGCGTCGACAAATTCTGTACTGAATGTGGCTCTTTTTTTTACTTTCGTGCAGACAATTAAGTTTCTTCGTTAGGATAGTTCCTGGACATTTACCATTGGTGAAACTTAAAAACCCGCGAATTACATACTAACTGATTGTTTCACTAATTACATTGTTAAACTTCAACTATACTACTACTACTCCCATTTTATTAGAGCATACTGTACTGTATATTAAAATTGAATTAAAATAATCGAAAGAAAATTATTTGAATATTTCAATAAAAAACTTACTGTTAAAAAAAACAAAACAATCTTCATTGTAATAATTAAATTTGTATGTCAAAAAAAAAAAAAAAAAAAATACGATACACAGCACGTATTAATAATAAATTCTAATATACAAATATATATTTTTATTTGTCCAAAATATACATGCATATATAAAAATTTTTTAAGATAAAATCACTACTAATTAATTAATAATGCATTTGTCAAATAATCGATTATCTATAAAAATATATCGCATATATTATCAAATTACATATGATTTTATTTTTTAAAAAAATCAAAAAAATCATAACTTTCTTATTTGCAACAATAACCTTATAAAGAAAAAGATTCTTATCATTCTGTGTTTTTTTAAATAAACATTTTAACAAAAAAATTTTTTTGTCATAAAAAGATGTATCTAAAAGTGTTCAAATAGAGTTTTTTTTTTATTTTACACAAATATTTTAATGCCACCAGAATTTTTTAATAGTCAGAAAGTGATGAGGATTTATATTAAAAAAAAAACAAATAAATAATCATGCAATTAACTTGCAAATTGTCAAGGCTATATACATGCAAATTGTTAATATAAAATTATGTGAAAAAACAGAAAAAATAATGACACAAATGATCTTTACTAAAGAAATTTATCCATCTTTAATAATCTATGATTTTTTAGCTAATGAAAAAAAATTTTTTTTTTAAAAAAAAAAATCTTTTTTATAGCTTAATAAACACGTTTATATGTAATTAATCACATATATTTTCTTTTGTGGTTTTAATAATTCGATCGACCATCACGCCGATCTTTCCTCGCAATTGTTCTTTCTTGTTAATTAAAAGTTTTAGATTCCTGGTTGCTAGTTATAAAGATGAATTAGAAAGAAACATTGTTGTAACAAAGAACCACGTGAATTAAAAACTAACAAAATAAATCCATTCTCTTTAATTGATCGATTGTTCACATACTACTAGCCTTAACGTATTTCATAATATGTCAAAATAACAGCAACTTTGTGTTATAACAAAATTATCGTTTCATGAATGTTTAACGATACTATATTTTAGACACGCCGTGCATAAAAATGAAATTTTTATATAAAAAACATCATATTTCATCAAGGAAAATAATTCTCAATCCCTGCCGGTCAGAATGCCATTCCATGTTATATAAAAAATTTCTATTTTACATTCTTTTAACAAAATTCCTAATTCATCCAATTGCAAAAAATGCCAAAGATTCGAAGTTCGAGTCTTGTACTTTTCATTTTTATTCTGCTTGCAGAATTTTCTTATACATTACCTTTCAACGAATTCCAATTCGTGACATCATCATCAAGTTCTATTGAGTTATTGTCTACTGCCCCTACGACATCAAGCCCTACTGGACTATCGTCAAATACTAATGTGCCTACTCCTATTACGACATCGAGTCTTACTGAATTAATTTCAAATGCTAATGTGCCTACTCCCATTGCGACACTGAGTCTTATTGAGTTATTTTCAAATGCTAATGTGCCTACTACCACTACGACGTCAAATGAATTTTTTTCGAATTCTAATGAAACCACTTCGAGTTTTTCAAAATCACAAGATGCCAGCTCAGTTGTCAAGATTGCAACTGTTTTTGTTGGATCCTTAAATTTTTCGGGAACTGCAACTATAAAGAAACTCGATCTTCCCTCGAGTTATTCACTCACAAACATTTTGCTACCGACAACAAATTCGAAATCCCCGAGTACCCCAACCAGGTCGTCACGTCCTGTCATTCATATCACTCGTATCCATTCCGAAACTACCCAACCAACTGATTTGTCAAACAATATTCCTTCGAGTGCTTTCTCCATTAAGGGTTACATTAGTTTGGATATTATTTTTTGGTCAGTAATCACGAGTTTTTGGGTAATAATTTGATATGGTTTACATTCGGGAATTGTCAATTTTAATAATGGATATATTATTGTAAACTTTCTTTGCGCTTGAATGTTGTTAAAGAAACAACACGATATAGAACTGCAAACGTGAATTTAATTAATTATCTCTAATAATAAAATTCAAAAAAAAAAAAAACTTTTTAAATTTTCACATTTCGAGTATTTAATAATTCTATCTAGTAAAAAATTTCATTAACATTGGATGCTTACAAAAATA